GTTCGACACGACATAATAGCAATTTCTTTTAAAACTTTTTTCATAGTCAAAAGCAAAAGAAACAGTTAAACGATGTCAATATAAATTTATAGTGTATACACATATGTATATTACATATTTTTAAATTTATATATTTATATAAAAACAAAAAATAATAATTTGATTACTTTATTTTAATAGTACGTGAATAATAAAATTTCATCCACAGTTATAAAACGTGACCTGAGTCTGTAAAATATGTATATAAGGGAAAAAAGCGAATTCTAGACCTTTTCGAATTACTTTTTTTGTACGTATGTTTGTATTTAAAAAAAGTAAAGAAAAAAGGGGAATAAATTAGAATTAAGTTTGTCCAACTTTCGAATACCCTATTCGCATAAATTTACGATTCATAGTCTGGGTTTATAGCAAATAAATACAATTTCGCGAAATGTTGCATTCACATATTTGGTCATAATTATAAAATTAATTTTTAGTTTTAATATCGCTTGAGCTATAGTAGGGTTGATAAAAACAACTACCAAGCGCTACCTATTCTTAAGTGGTGATTTTAATTTTTTTAATTATTTTTTGAGCATAAGAATGTGTTCAGAAATTAACAAAAATATTGTATAGTATAGTTAAGAGATTTTTTTTTAAAATCGTGGCTGCTAACGTAATATTTCAAAATAAATTAAATAAATTTAGCAATAGATGTATGAGATGAACAATTATACATATTTATTTACAAATGTATTTATTTTTATTTAAGAGTAAGATTCATTAAAATATTGATATTTTTCCCTTAGTTGCAAATGAACAAACAAATTTTTCATATTTTCTATTAATAAATTTGTATACATAAGCGTTACATAAGTATATAATGTCTTATCTATATATTTATGTATATCCTTTGTACAAGCTTATATGTATCTATGCATATACATATGTGTGTGTGTATATGCTAACAAAAGATAAAAAAAACAATATTAAGCGAACAACAAAGCATCAAGGAGAAAAATTTACATTTTCAAAGCTTTCTTGAAATAAATTTCCATTTAAAAACGTAAAGAAAACACAAAAAACAAAATCAAAAATAAAAATGTTTTCAGAATTTTGTTTCTTAACAGAGCCCGTTAAATTCATGTGAGCCCGTATGCTTATTTACATACTGTTTCATTTTATTTCAGAGAAGTATGTATAAAGTAGGCCTGTGAGCCCACTCAATTTTATTATGACGCCCGCGAAAATACTACAAATTATTATTCAAATTGATAATTTTCAGTAAATAAAATAATTTTCCAAATTTAATATGATTAATGAAATTATTTTATTAATTATTTTTGAAGACATCGTTAAAATTAATTTAAAAAATAACAAAATGATAAGTTTGTAATACCCTGGCAATTTCCATATTTTACAAATAATTTAATTAAATTTTTGGTAAATTAAAAGTTTTTCTTTTTTGTTGCTATTATTACATATAGCACACTTATTTACGTCATTTATCGAAACATGAAAAAATACACTTACTATAAACTAATGTAATCTAGTCTTATTCACCATTTTTTTTAATCCGGTCATAGATCTGTAAAAGTTGTACATGTCTGTTCTATACAAACATACGTGCATATATTATATTAATATATATAATTTTTTTAGAAATAAATGTGTATTACTGCTATGCGGTACTCTTTTTAAAGATTTTCATGATTCCCTTTTTTATTTTCATTTATTGTTTTTCCTTCTTCAAATGATTTTCGTTTTCTCGTTAACAACTGAAAATACAAAACTTTTAAACGAAATTTTCTTTATAAAACCAAATAAGAAAGAAGTTTCTTCTTATTTTCCATTATTAGTAAATTTGTAAACTTTTTTATTTTCTCATTTGACCTTGTATGATTTCTCTGAAACTCCTCTGTAATATAATATAACGTAAATGACCATATATACCAATATTGTGATTTGATTGCCTCATATACACAGATACTTGCCTAGTTACAAATAACAATATGTAATATTTTATGTCGAATACGCAATGAAAAAAGAAACCAAAATAACACGACCTTTAATGTTCGCGAAAGTATATGGCATAAAGATAATGACTTTTTAGCACTTTTCCAAAAAATTTTTGAAAAAAAGTGGTTATTAGTTTCACTCTGTCCGTCCGTCCGTCCGTCCGTGTGTCTGTTTACAAAATTTCTACACCCTTGAAGATAGAAAGCTGAAATTTTGTATGTACATAGATCTTTACTAGAAACTTATTTCGTAGAACAAAATTTTTAACTATCTCCCCCTCTCTAGAAGTTATACCCCCTAAAAATGGTCTTTTTTAACTATTTTATACTAATAAGCTTGAAAGAGAAAGAGAAAAGAAAGAGGTGCTTTTAGAGATTACCACATAGTTCATTTCGTTAGAAGAAAATTTTTTTCCATCTCCACCCCCTCTCAAGTTATCGCCTTTTGAAATTTGTAAAATTTGAATTTTTGACACCTTATATTTCCGAAACCGCAAGCTTTTTCAAATTTCTATAAACACAAAAAGCTAACGGTAAATTCCATGACATAAAAAATATAATTATTTTTCTTAACTCACACAATTAACCCTTAAAATCGAGCATTATGTTAACCCCTCTTTATATTAATTTTTGCTTTATTTCAAAGACTGCATGTAAGCATCATCCTTAATATATGCAATCCTAGAAATAGCTTTGTATATGAATGAAAACAATTTTAATAGTGTGATAGGTATACATAGACTGTATTTAAAAGCAGAATTTTCACTTGTTGAAGGGAAAAGTGCTACAATACAAACCATTGGTTTGACCCAACTTTATTGTTATTTTATTCAAAGCCTGTGCATTGTCTTTTGCTGTGTTGTGAACATATTGCATATAATATGTTGAAATGTACTTATTTTTATACAGAGTGATTGGTTACAGTTTATAATAAGTCTTTGATAACGTTCACTTATAAAGAATCTAAAATTTTTAAAAACTAAATGTTAGAAAACTTGGGAATAACATATACTTATTTATAGATGAGCCTATAATAAGAGTCAAAAGTAAAGCTTTAATAATTTTTGGTTTGCTTTGAAATTGTACATCTTTTATAAACTGATTGCAATTTTTAGTTAACGCATTCAATTCGAACTGACGCAATAATTTAGTTGTGTAAAAGTGCGCTTAACTATTTCGTAATTATCCGACTTTATAACTGATATAGTCAGCACATAACTGACCGCAATGTGTATTGTCAAGTTGAGTGAAAGTGTTACAGAATATAATAAAAATGCTTGTTAAATACTTCTTTCCAATTTTTAGAGAATTACCTAGAACCAATTTTTAGAGCATTACCTAGGTATTAACATACCTAGAAAAATGTAAACCTGGCTCTTGGTAAACTTTCGTTTTGTGCTACCCGATTTCACTGACATGCTCGTCAGTAAGTTTCGACAACAGCCAGAATTCAAATATCAAATTTCAAGAAATTCCATCAATTCGTTCCATAGATATGGGAAAAAAATGTAAAATCGGCCCAAAGATCAGTTTTCGAGCCCTGATTTTCCAAAAAATTTATATATTTATTTCTTTGAAACCTCGAATTTAAATATTAAATTTCAATGAAATCGGTTGATTTATATACGCAAAAATGTATGTTTGGCTCATAGTAAACGTCCAGTTGCTGACACCTGATATGGACGAGCGAAGCTTATTTATGTAATTTTAAGAAAATGTGCTAAATATTTTCTTCATAATGATCAAAAATGTAAAACAAGCCCGCTATAAGGTGCAGTTCCCAAGGCCTGATACATCCCAATAGTTGATCACTCCGTGCCATGATCGAAATAAACTTACATATAAAATATTATCAAAATCGGTTCAGTCGAACTTGAGATACACGCGTGCACACACAGACCGACAGACTGACAGACAGGCAGATTGCTAACAATAGTTTATTTACACTTCCCTACGCTTTAGATGTATCATTATATACAATTGGCTGTGCTGGAGAAAAGAAAAGATTTGCTGAAGGTCGATTTTAACTTCCAATAAGATTTAATAATTCAATTTGGCTTTAGCCAAACTACTCTTTATGGTGTTTCAAGTTTTTATTTTGGCAAACTACATGTTATAATTATAACATAAGATTTCTTAGTATGGTGAGAAATTCTCTTTAAAATTTGTTTAGTTTTGTTGATTTTTTATTACTGAATACATTTTTTTTTTAAATTTATTGATTCGTTTATGTTTTATAAATTTAATAAGTATTCGAAATCCTTTTTATTTAATTTGTTATACGTACGAGTATAATCACGCAACTGGTATGTGAATTAATTTGCATTCTGAAAAAAATAATATGATGAAGCAATTAATGTTGAAAGAAGAAATTAAATTTAAACTATTCTAAAAATTTGTAGAATACATTATATATACTCTCTAAAATGACTTCGCCAAAAGACAACATTGCAAACCAAATTTCAAGCTACCAAATTTCGCATGTCGAGTTTAAGGTGGAAACTCATTTCTCCAATGTAGGTAAGCATAAATAAACTATTTTTAGAGAGATGTTAGTCGGTCTGTCTGTCTGTTGTCTGTCTGTAAGTCTGTCTGTGCAGATTAGTATTTGAAGTTCTTCTTATCTTATACAACACTTTAGAAATGCGGTCGGCTATGTGCCATGAACCACGTCACACTTTTATTTTGAAAAAAATTTGAAGTTTTTGTTCAACATTGATCGAGTGATTAAAAATATCTATCAATTCCATTATGATTTAATTCACATAACATTATTCACGATTGGAAGCACTTAACAAATGAAAAGTATCGAAGAATGTGTAGTTTATATGAATAATCTAAAAATTGAGATTTTCAAAAAGTCCTGAGCCACAAAGAATTTGTGTTGTGAAATACGTTGTTTGTATAGTTATAATCATTATTCATATACATATAAATATATACATAAATATATATATACATTTTATATTATTAAAATTCAACTAAATATTTATTTATTTTCAGATGGTTACCCAAATCTGCAATGAGGCCTGTAGGGCCAGATACAGCTCATTCCGACTGTATATTAGTCGTTGGTGTTTCCCGTCCTAAATTGGCAGCAGTATTTTTGACTGTTATGCTGATATCATTGTTTTTAACATTTCATGTATTATATGATAGTGCTGTATATAATATACAAGCAGCTCAAGCTGTATCCGAACAACATCGTTTGTCATTAATAACAAATCGTTTACCAGAAGTTGTTAACCCAGGTGATATGAGTCCAATTAATCATCCAATGGTGTTTCCAAATCGCGTACATTTTCCAAAAACAAGTAGAAGATTACCTCAAGTACGTACACCTATATTTTTTTTTAATTTAATGAACTTTAGTATGATTTAGTCACGATTTACTTGAGTGATCATTTTGTTTTTATTATGATTTTATTACATTTAAACTTACATTAATGTATTTATTTTATTATTACGAGGTTTAGTATTATGTAATTATTTTGAAAGTAAAATTTATGGAAAGGTTTTTTTTATAGACTAATATGTACATAATATTATTTAAATGTTGGTAATATTATAGGCAAAACGTGTGTCAATATGTACGTATATGAATTTGGTTTTTGTGTCTGAAGAATTAAATTAGAGTGGATTTCGTCAAACTTTCGATTAATTTTTCATAGCATACAAGAGTATATTTCCATATATACTTTCCATACGTGTGTATCTCAAGTATCTCCCTCTTTACTTTTGGAAGAAATCAGGCGTTAGCAACTGGATGTTTACTACGGGCCAAATATACATTTTTGCGTATATAAAGAGAAATCATCAACCGATTTCATTGAAATTTAATATTTAAATTTGGAAAGTTAAATACAATGAACATAAATTCTTTGGAACGATCAGGTCTCGGAAACCAAACTGTGGGCCAATTTTACATTTTTTACTATATCTACGGAACAAATTGATGGAATTTCATATCTGCGGAACGAACTGATGGAATATTTGAGCTCTGGTTGTTACCAGAAGTTACTGACAAACTTTTCGTATAATTCGGACGGCATAAAATGAAACTCTACTAAGAGCCAAATTCACATTTTTCTAGGTATGTTAACTAAAAGCTTAAAATTGTAAAGAAGTGTTTAAAACGCAATCTTCTGGAATACTTTTACTAATCTAGACAAAATACATTCCGGGCGGTTATGTGCTAATCACATCAGATGTTTTTTTGTTTGATGTCAGGGATCTTAAAATGAATAATAACTATACACATATTATGAAATGTTATAACATTACCTACGTTCGAATGTTCGTTTAAATGTATGTTCGAAAATAATAAAAGTTTGCAATTGTTTATAAACAAAAACTAGATAGTAGTTTGTAGGACATAAAAAGAAATAAATTAAACTGCATAATTCAAGGTGATCTTGAATGTAATTGCAATACTTATATAAAAAAATTTAAATTGTATATTTCGGAGCTAGTATTACTTGAATCATAAAACCAAGAAAAGTTAACAACTATTGCGAATTCTACCACTTTGATACGACTTCTCATTTCATTGAGACTTCTTTTCAATATTTGGAAGTTCCTTTCTATATTTAAGGTTTGATTAGCTATTTGGAATGTCAAATATTATTATATCGTATTTGTTTATGCCTGCCACATTATTGTCATCTTTCTATTTTCATTGTTGCCATCACTCTCTTTTTTCATCAACCTTCATTCTGCAGTTTTTTTTCAACCTTTGTTTTACATAAACACTTTTCATATTTTGTTCTTATTTACATTGGACAGAATTTGATATGTTTTCGTTTATATGAATTTAAAAATGTTTACAATTTTCATTGATTTACTGAAATTGAATTTCAATATTGTGTATATTTGCGTAACAAAAATAACATTATTATAGCGAATATATAGAATGTTCTTTCTTATAGGATATTTTTCTATTCTTTCGAAGAAATTGAGATTTTTTTTTCCTTTGTATGATGCTTTCTTTGAAAAATAAAAAAAAAGAAGAACAAAATAAATATCATAAACACTTTGCGAAATCCTTTTTAATATTCCATAAAAATAAATCCTTTTGTATAATAATATTTTGTTTAGTTGTATTTTTATTTTTTCAGATTTTTTGTGTATATTTTTCTTTGTTTGAGGGCAATCATAAGGACAACAGATTGTGCAAGAAATATATTGAAAGTTTTTGGAAATTTATTGAATGAGTTTTGATTTCCTTTTAAATTCGTTGCATTTGACGATTTATTCTTAAAAATATAAATGCTGTCAGACTATTTACATAATTTTCTAAAATTTTTCTGGAAAACTAATAAAAAACTTGTTATAGTTGTTTCATGTGTTCAAATATTACGTTATTTATATAGTATATAATATATAAATAACGTTGTATGGAAAGTTACGTTCGCATATTTAGAATTATTCCACTCTTATGTATTTATATATTATATATTTGGGATTTTATTACAAACTCATTAAATAAGAATATAAGACGATAAAGTTAGTTTCTTTAATATTCTTTTGAACTCAAATAAAAGGACCGCCACATTACTTTTCAAGTACAGAAAAGTTTTTAAGCACATTTCAAAAAATCTTTGAAAAAAAGTGCTTATAAGTTTCACTCTGTCCGTCCGTCCATCTGTCTGTCCGTCCATCTGTCTGTCCGTCCGATTAGAAAATTTTTGCACCCTTAAAGATAGAAAGATGAAACTTATTTCCGTAGAAGAAAATTTTTACCTATTTCAAATTTTCAAACTAAAAAATATCTGTAAACACCTATACGTACAAAGTTATTTATGATAAGTACAAATAAATTTCTTACAAAAGGATTATTAAAAGAAATTGATAGTGGTAGTATTCATTATTTTCATATACAAAGTTTCAAGTCTGGATCACTTTCTATAATATAGCACTTATCAGTTTGCTATTTGCAAGTTTGCATAAGAAGCGGCAAGTTTTCTTAAACTATAGTTCATGAAATTTAACCGAAAATTCTTTATTTGAACGCGACGTTTTTAATAAAAATTAAAAGAAAATTAGCAAGCAAAGCAATGTAACTAGCGTTTCTGTCTAATTTTTTAATTATTTTTTGGAAAAAGTGTTAAATGTTAGCCTGAAAAGAATTTGTTATAAGTACGAGTATATGCTCAACACTGAGATTTTAATATAAATATGAATACAGACATATTTTACAGATATTTTTAGTTTTATACATATTTTTAGTTTTATAATAAATACAGTGATGTGAATAAATATAGACTCAAGCAAATTTTTAAGTAAAAAGTTAAAATATTTTCGTCAATATCCATGTATCGAAAATTTAATTTTTTATACATACATACATAGATAAATTTATTCTTCTTTTTCAACAGGCACTCATTGTTGGCGTAAGAAAATGCGGTACAAGGGCACTTTTAGAAATGCTTTATCTACATCCGCGAATACAAAAAGCTGGCGGTGAAGTACATTTTTTTGACCGGGATGAAAATTATATGAAAGGGTTGGAATGGTATCGTAAAAAGATGCCCCATTCATTTCGAGGACAAATAACAATTGAAAAAAGTCCAAGCTATTTTGTATCACCAGAGGTAATTGAAATGATTGTATATTTGTTGAAAATAAGAAAAACATGAGAAAAAAAATAATTTTACTTGGTTTATTTCCAAGTAAATAATTTATTTGCATATTGAGAGTTCTATAGGAACGCATTTCTCCATTGTAGGGAAGTGCAAACAAACTATTTTTACCAACTTGTCGATCTGTCGGTATATGTGTGTACGCGTGTATCTTAGTTCGGCTGAACCGATTTTGATGAAATTTTATATGTAAGTTTATTTCGACTATGGCATGGATTGATCAACGGAACTTTACGGGCCAGTTTTACATTTTTGATCATTTTGAAGAAAATATTCAACAGATTTACTCGAAATTTCATATATATGCTTCATTCGCTTCATTTTTCACTTTTGGAAAAAATTAGGTGTCAGCAACTGGACGTTTACTATAGCCAAAAATTGAATTTTGACGTATATAAAGAGAAATAATCAACCGATTTTATTGAAATTTAATATTTAAATTGGAGGTGTTAAAACAATGAATCTATAAATTTTTAGGAAAGATCACAGCTCGAGAACTGATCTGGGGGCCAATTTTACATTTTTTACCATATCTACGGAACTTTTTGAGCTCTGATTGCTACGAAAAGTTACTGACGAATTTTTCATATAATTCGTTATCTAAAAGCTTATTAGTGTCCTTAAAATGGCAAAGAAGTGTTCAAAACGCATTTTCATAAGTTTCTGGAATAATTTTACTAATCTAAACAATATACAGTGCGGACGGTTATGTGCTGAACATATCAGATCTTTTTTTTCGTTTATTATATAAAAAACATAGACTTTTTTATGGGAAATCTGCTTTTCTATAATATGTTTTATTCATGTTATGGCAAAATATTTGTTTTTTTATCATCTTTCATCCTTTTTTATAAACATGTATTATATATCTATAGATATATATATATATATATATATATATATATATATATATACATATATATATACATATATTACAGTTTTAAATTGACACTTTTATAGAAATGGAAGAGCAATAGAATTTATTAGAATATTCATTAATACTTTATAACACAGTTTTATATGGTTACTATAAGCACTTGGTGTTCTAAAAATTTAGTTACATAAAGTATGGATTAAAAATATATGTATATAGTGTGTAAAATGTTTATAACTGATTAAATTGGTTTATTTTAAAATTCTCTTTAACATACAAACTAATTTTTTTGGAGTATGGGTAGACTTCATTTCCCTTTCCTTATAATCGTTGGTCGGAGTACCCAGGGACTATAAATGATTTGTAGTAATTTGTAAATATGTAGGTAATATATTAACGTGCCTAGAGTGTGGAGAGAAATCGGAGCAGTCTTTGGGCTAAAATCAGATAAAAAAAGTAATGACAGGACTTTTGGCCTTTAGTTTGTTCACTCCTCTAAAGTGCTAAAGGCTACAGGACTGCTGGTTCCGAAGCTATAATCGCTATATAAGCGATTCTAAGAGTTTTTTCTGATCACTGGTAATTCACAGATTTTGCCAATATATGATAATAGGGTGTAGCAAAAATATTTTTGAAGATATTTAAAAAAATCTGGCACTGGAAATTCACAAATTCTACCAATATATGATAATAAAACTTTTAACGCTTTTTCTGACTAAACTAGAAAAGATAGAGCGATTGAAAGTGTTTTTTGTGATCACTGGTAATTCACAGATTCTGCCAATACAGAATGGTTCCGAAGTTATAAGCATTTATTTATATGCAGCAAAAATTCGGTATCTTTTTTTTCAGGATGAGCAATGTATCGGATCATTGAAATAAACCAAAAAAAATTGAAAGACGTGTTTACATAATGCTCGAATTTAAGGGTAAACTGCTTGAGTTAAGAAAAATAATTATTTTTTTTAATGGAATGGGATCTATCTTTAGCTTTCTGCATTTATAGAAATTTGGAAACGTTTATAGTTTTAGGAACATAATTTGCTCAAAATTCAAATTTTACTAATCTCGTGTGGCAATAACTTTAGAGGGGGTGAAGGTGGAAAAAAACTTTTCTTCTAACGAAATAAACAATTTATTAGTGTCTTAAAGTTGCTAAAATTTACGACTCCTACAACCTATAGTGCAGAAGAAAAACGATATCAAAAATTTGGGAAAATCTAGTTTTAGGTAGCGGTAAATTTTGTTTTTCTAAAGTGCAAATAAAGCTCCGGTTTTTCTACAATAATTACTTTTTTAGGACGGAAATAAGTTTCTGGTAAAAATCTATGTACATATATATCCTTTCATTCGAAATTTCAGCTTTATAACTTCAAGGGTTCAAAAAAATCTTAGAAAAGTGCTAAAAATGTATAAGAAAAAAAAAATAAGGTCCCAAAATGCAGTGTTTGCTTTTAAGAGTGTTACTGGGAAACGTTACAGTGAGAGGTGCCGGTTTAATTTTTGTTTGTATAGACGTGTGGTTACGAGCACTCATACCTATTAAGTTAAAGAACAGAAAAAAGTGGTGAGAGAGTGATTAAACCTTATTATTTTTATTTAAATGAATTAGCCGTATGTTTTGAAATTCGCCTACGATTTTAACGCTTAACAACCTTATTATAAAATGCCCAACTTTTTTACATTTAAGGCAGAAAACAACAAAAAAAAATAAAAAAAGAGAATTTTCGATAATTTAGACATTTACTGAAAGTTCTAAATTAAATCCTAAAAGTCACGTTCTTACAAATGTAGGAGCTAAATGTTTTAGTTATGTTGATTTTTATGATAAGTCTAGTTATGTTTTATGATAATTATGTTTTATGTATTATTTAGTTATGTTTTATGATAAGTCTTATCATTATTAATTGTAAAACAGCACAAAAGGTCAAAAGAAAACTTATTCGAATAATTCTTCAATATTCAACATGTTTTAGCTCGTCTTTTAACTTATAACACGTTTGTAATAGTTACATAAAAGTTAAAAATTCCTTTAGGACTTAAAGCAGAAATTTGGTTTTATGGAATGCACTTCATATAAAGACTTAAGTTAAAACTAAATTATGGAAAATCCCCATAAGTAGTTATAATAACTGGAAAATATAAAAACGAGTCAAATGCATTAATAATTTGTAACATTGCATTCTGAAAATTTATAAATAGCATTACCAAAACTTCAAATTTGCTTTGCTTCTTCATATACATAAAAGCTTGAAACTATTGATTTTCTTAATATTCAGATATTGAACGTCCTCCAACATATTGTTTTATTTTTTTATATTTTCAGGAAGTCAATCTTTGTGTAAAAGTAAATAAATTTTTTTAACATACTAATGGAAAACAGTAATGCTTATTTAAGTCATTGAAAACCAACGATGAAGAAACACCGTTTCTCACTCATATTTTCTTGAATCCAAAGAATATCCAAAGTAATAAAATTTCATTACATTATAGTTTTTTAGAAAAAAGAAAGAAATGAAAGTCTAAAACGAAATTTGATGTTTTTTGTTTTCTTGATATTCTTTTCAATTTTCTTTTATTATTAGGTTAAATAATTTTTTTTTTTTAAATTTTCTACTTTAATTTTTCTACCTTATAGGAAATGTTATCACTTTTAAACTATTAAATTGCGCAAATAATAGTTTACATAAAAATTCTGTTTTATGTACACTATAATTTTTCCTTAAGAATTTATTTTAAAGATTTTGATGCATTGGCTGTGATACCGAAATCTTCCTATGCCTCTCCAAGATATAGGAACATTTTTACATAATATGGGTACAAACTTGTGTCCATTTTTATATCCATCCATACATATAAAAAAAAGGGTATAAATCTATAGATACGTCTGTGCAATATAACACAATATTATGTAGTTTTTGTATAAATCACTGCTCCCAGGGATGTTTTTATCTGGAGAATTCTGGCTTTTGTATACTTGTTATACGTACATGCACTTATATAATATATAAAAAAAAATATAAGAAATATTTAAAATGTTTTTCGTACTCTTGCTTAATAATGTTATGATAAAAACATCTTTTTATTTTATTTAAAAAAAATATAAATTCTAGTAATGTAATTCAGAAAAATATTTCAATTCATTACATTACGCTTTTTGAAATTGAAAACTTTTCATTTCGAGATTCTGGTAATCTCATTCTATCAGTATTCATTCCAGTTTGAGCCCAGTTTTTTTATTATGAGTCATAAAAATAATTTATACTGCAAATTTATTTTTTACTCTCCGTTGTACTCGACTTTAAAACTGAAATCTAAGGTTCTTTGTGTGAAAAAATAAAACTGCGATCGCAAATGTTTTCCATAATAAATAACACAAGTGGTTAATGGCTACTTATTTTCAATTGAAAAAGTCTTAAAGATAACTGAAAAATATTTTTTTTAATTACTTTTTAATCAAAAATTATCTTTTTTTTCAAATACCTATGTACGCCATTTTTCCAAAAAATTTCTCAGCTTTTTTCTTCACATGTCTCAAAAAAGAGAATTTCTCATTAAATTTAATCATTAACCTTGATATTTTTACTGACGTGATTAAAAAAGGATATATTTTGCGTGCCAAGACAAGCAAACATTTTTTATGGTACAAGTGTCTAAAAAATGGTACCATGAAAATGGTATATTTGGCAACCCTATTTATTTTTTATTCAAAAATTTTACTCTTTAATTCAGTACCTTCCATTCGGAAGACAAGAAAGGTTGGTTGTGTTAAAAATTGAAATTTTATTTTTAAACGCATTTTCAGCTGGAATTTATTAACCGATCTTTTTGAAAATTAAGTTTTAAATTAAATAAAGTCGGGTCAAACCAATGGTTTGTATTGTAGCACTTTTCCCTTTAACAAGTGAAAATACTGCTTTTAAATACAGTCTATGTATACCTACCACACTATTAAAATTATTTTCATTCATAAACGAAACTATTTTAGGATTGCATATATTTAGAATGAACGATTTATGCAGTCTTTGAAATAAAGCAAAAATTAATATAAAGAGGGGTTAACATAATGCTTGATTAT